ACACGCGCCCGGCGTGAGTTTAAGCCGCTGGGTCCAGGACTCGAACCATGGTTGACTACATGGGAGTCCAGAGACATAGCCATTACGCTAACTGCTGGTCCTATTTTTTTACTTTTTAAATTGAAAATTAAAAAAATATATATATGGGGGACCAGCAGTTAGCATAATGGCTATGTCGCTGGACTCCCACGTAGTCGACCGCAGTTCAAGTCCTGGACCCGGCAGCTTAAACTCATGCTGGGCGTGTGTGAGTGCGTGCCCAAGATCCCAAGAGGAGAAGGGAGGAGAAGGGACTGTGGAGTGGCCATCCCCCCTGGGTGGTGATTTCTCGCTTTCTATCTCTCTGTCTCTGTCTGTCTAGTGAGCGCACGCGCCCTATAGCAAAAACCTCTCCAGAAAAAAAATATATATATATGGAATTTGTATATGAAAGAGAAACAGGACATAAAATTTCAACTTACAAGCTGTATTGTTCATAAATATACTAGTACTGCTTGAAAGCTTTCTACATTTAGAAATTGGTCCAGCTGCTCTGATACAGTAAATAGCACAATGCCTCAGCGCTGGAAGCTACATGGCTGAGTCCACCTGATAAATAGCAGGCACACATGCGCTTGCCCAAGATCCTGAAGAAAAGGAGGGTAAGGGAAGATTGTGGTGTGACCAGACCCTATTCACTGAGATTTTTCTCTCTCGTTGCCTCATATGTGCTCCTGCAAACACTACCATGAATTTTTAAAAAAGGAGTTTTGATATTTGTTATTATAATGATTAGAACTGACCTGTTTTAGAAATCCTGCTACTTTTACTTGAAATCACTTTTGTCTCCAACAAAATTCAACAGAATAAAACTGAATCAGAAACTGGACCCTGATAAAGTCTCTATAATAACTTTAAATGAGAAAAAAAAAAAAACAACTCTAAAATGTTAAAGGAAGTTTATGTTAAGCCAATATGGATGACCACAAGCTGGGAAACACAAACTCAAACAGACTTCAGAAAATGTTGCAAGATTGGGTTACAGTAAGTCTTTCATATATTTCAGCAAAGCAGAAGTTGTACATCAATACACATGGAGATTACTTGACACTAAAAGGCAGGACATCTTGAAATAAGGTTTATAGGACATAGGAAAACTCAGAGATTCTTTAGTTTGTTATTGGTCAAAAGAGCAAGGTTTTGTTAAAACTTGGAGGTAAACAATTAAAAAAAAATTAAGCTAAGCTTAACATAGATAAGGAGTTTAAAAATCATCCTGTGATGTCATGCCAGGATATGAAAAGTAAGCTACAATTACTGAGGTGAGGTGACCCGTTTAATAAAATTGATGATATATAGCCATGGTTCTTCTAAAGCTCCTTAGGAAGGAAAATTTAGAACATAGAAATATGTCTAAATTTCAGTCTTCCTAGCCAACATCAGTAATTCTAGTTATTAAATGTACTTTTAGGTAAAATGGAATTCCTTTTATGAATAACTGGAAATTCAAATCATAAATAACTGGAAATTTTCAAATTCAATTCACTTATTAAGTAATCCTTGTTGGAAAAAACAGAAAATGGGTAATTTCCACATGTGTCATGGTATACATGTACTCAAACACACATAGATATTTGTGTGTGCATGTGTGTGTAATATTCAATGAAATGATCAGAAGTGGATGAAATGGTAGAAGAGCTAATATCTAAGTGACACTTTAAAAGCTGTCATCAGAATATGTAATTACAGAGAACGAATTTATTCTACCAAAATTAACCGAAAACTTTTTTACATAACAAGCATTAGAATTTAATATTTACAATACAGTTTTAAATTGTATTATGCTTTGGTTCACTAAATCTTTCAAATGCTTTACAGCTAGGTTAACAAGATAATATATCATTAAAGGGAACAAATCAATATTACTATATCTACTTATGTAGTCCAGATTTTAGTAAAAAAATATAAAGCTAACAGATAAATCACTATTGGTTCTCCATTTCCAATGTACTATATTAGTCATTTGCAAACATGAACTGGATGTTTCATATAATAAACAGCATTTAAAATTTTTCATGTAAAAATATCAAATATTATAACAATTATTTCTTTCATATACATATATAAATTTGGAAATACATGAGTTCAAATATATCACAGGGCATTACAGACTTTGAAATCATAAACGTAAAGTCATCGTAGACAGTATTAGTTTTAACAAATAAAATTCCACTTAAGCCATGTTTTCCCACAATGAGTGACACTTGGAACATGTTTCTGTAAACTTCAATATGTACGTATTGTTTATAACTCTATTGCTTTGCTTGTAAAGTCTTACCAGACATATCATCTTCAACAAATAATTTTACATTTTGTGTTTATCTGTTTTACTTCTTTTTCCCTCTTGATCCCCTCCCTCTCACTCTCTGCTATTTTCCATCCTCCTCCCACACTGTTTCTGTATCCACAGTTGCTCTCTATGCCGTTATACCATCTGATATTCCAGTTTCTGCCATAGAGTGCAGACATTCAGTATATAATAAGTGGGGTCCCATACTTTCTCTCTCATAGTGTGACTTGCCTCATTTAGCAGATATACAGTGAATGAATGTAAAATGAACAAAATAAATATTAAAAACTTGTCAGAAATATCAAACCTGATTGTAATAAAGCCAAGATTAAGGTTCCCTTATGAAATAACCCCAAATATAGTTGTCCTCCTAATGCAATTTATAGTTCAAAATCAGACATATACCTAGCTACCCAACATTAAGGTGAGATCTACTGAGAAATCTTACTTGGCAAGATCAGAGGGGATATACATTAATACAGTCATTACAGAAAATAGTATGGTGGTTCTGAATAGAACTGCCATATGACCCATCAATCTTGCATCTAGCTATATATGGAAAGTAAAAGAAATCAATATGTCACAGACACACCTGCATGCCAACATTTGTTGCAACTCTATTCACCAAAACAAAGTTGTGCAGTCAAACTAATTGCCCGACAAATAAATAAATGCTATTCAGCCATTATACAATTCCAGGACAGCAAGTAGCATAGTGGCTAAGGTGCTGGACTCTCATATGGTTGACCTGATTTGAACCCTGGACCTGGCAAATTGAAAATCACACCAAGAACACATGCCCAAAATCCTGGGAGGAGGATGGAGGAGAAGGTATTGTGGAATGGCCATCCTCCCTGGGGGGGTGATTACTTACTTTCCCTCTCACTATCTCTTTTCGGTGAGTGCACACACCTTATAGCAAAAACCTAAAAATCCATCAAACAAACAAAAACAAAGCAACAACAACAACAAAAACATGCAATTCTGTCATTTGAGGCAACATGGACACGATTACAGTACAATTCATTATATAAAGTGACATAGTCCAGGCATGGAGATTGGAGAGTCTTCTGATAGGTAGCTAAAAATGTTTTTGTACTCTCTGTCTTAACACTCAAAAAGAAACCTTCCTCTACTACTAAATTAAATGTGATGTAAGCTTTCTGCAACACAGCTATACTTGTATCAGTGTCATCCTCCTCAAGTCAGTGCTTCAGAATTTAAAGCACTTAAAAATCTATATGCAAAAACAAGCCTGTAAAATAGTTTCTTTGTTTTATTATTCTAGTATAAAATTAACAGTTCATTACAATCTCTTAAACTCTTTTGAATAAAATAGACCAATATTTTAAGAATTTTATCATATATAACACTTTAAGTCATTGCAATGCCAGGGTATTTGTCATTGCAAAAACTTTTGAACACTAACAAAAACATACATATTTTTAAATAGCAAAATTTTGTGACTATTTTATTAGAAAGAGGAGAGGTACTAGTTACTACAGTATCAAAGTATTTTTTCTTAATTCTTTTGTCAGTGAATTTATGACTTGCTTATTTCTCAGACTATAGATAATTGGGTTCAGCAAAGGAATGATGACCAAATAAAATAAAGAATCTATCATATCTCTGTCTTCTGCTTGTGCTGATCGAGGCAACACATACATAAGAAAAAGGGGGCCATAGTACAAAGACACAGATAAGAGATGGGCTCCACAGGTAGAGAAGGCTTTCTTTATGCCTTTGACAGATCTCTTCCTTAAGACTGTAAAGAGAACAAATGAATAAGACACAAGAACAATAGTAATGGTAAACATTTGAATTGAGCCAGAGAAAATAAAAATTATTAAAAAATTAATAGACGTATCAGCACAGGACACCTTTAACAATGGGACAATGTCACAGTAAAAGTGATGTATTCTGTTGGACTTACAGAAGGTTAATCCAAATAAAAACCCTTCATGAATAAAAGCATGAACAAAACCACCCAGAAATGACAAGAATATCAGCCAGATGCATAGTCTGTTGGTCATAATCACGGGATAAAGTAAGGGTTTGCATATGGCTACATAGCGATCATATGCCATTGCTGCCAAGAGGAAACATTCTGTGGTTACAGCAATTGCAAAGGAGAAAAATTGTATCATGCATTCAGAGAGAGAGATCGTGTTACTCTTGGCTAAGAAGTTGACCAACATCTTCGGGGTTATTGTGGATGACATCAACGTATCCACAAAGGCTAAATTCCCAAGGAATAAGTACATGGGGATGTGAAGGTGAGGGTCATTCCAAATGAGAACAATCAGACCAAGGTTCCCCACCATGGTGATGATGTATATGACCAAGAACAGCAGGAAAAGGGGGATTTTCCACTCTGGTTGATATGTAAATCCTGTGAGAATAAACTCTGTCAACAATGTTGCATTTACGTTTTCCATGTTCTTATTAGATGTTCCCTGAAATGAAAGGCAGTAAATATCAAAATAACATTTACTATGTGTAAAGAGTGCTGCAAAGAGCTTAATACTTATCATAGTGGTCTTGACTTATATATGGAAACTAAATTAAGGTAATTTAAAAAGTAAAAATAATCATTTTTTTTTTACCAAAAAATATACAGGAGTTAACAGATTTAAAGAGAATGGGTTGCTTTATAAGCATGAAATGTCTATGTGTGTGTATTTTTTTAAGAGAAATTTTAGGGCATGTGTGCTCTCTGGAGACACAGAGAGATACAGAAGGACAGAAAGTTAGAAATCACCCCCCAGGGAGGATGGCCATGCCACAGTCCCTTCTCCCCCATTCTCCTCTTGGGATTTTGGGCACACATGCACACACACCCAACTTGAGTTTTTACCTGCTGGATCTGGGACTCAAACCATGGTCGACTGCATGGGAGGCCAATGACATAATCAGTTTGCCACCTACAGGTTCCAACATGTGCTATATGTTTTAAAACACAAACTCACAAAGATAAAAAAAAACATCCAGTGTCTTGGAAGTTGATGCAGGAGCAAGGGAAAAAATCCTTGAAGGACCAAAATTATAAAGGAATTGAAGTCACATTAAGATTCTTAAACTTTATATCCCTCCTGCAATAGACATTTGATAAAAACTTTTAAGATGAGTAATACCATTGTAAGATAGTTTTTTTCTTTTTTTTCTTTTTTTTTTTTTTTTTTGAGAGGTTTTCGCTATAGGGCGTGTGCACTCACCAGAAAGACAGAGAGAGACAGAGAGATAAAAAGCGACAAATCACACCCTGGGGGATGGCCACACCACAATCCCTTCTCCATTCTCCTCTTGGGATCTTGGGCATGCATGCACACGCGCCCAGCGTGAGTTTAAGCCACCAGGTCCGGGACTTGAACCACAGTCAACTACATGGGAGTCCAGCGACTTAGCCATTATGCTAACTGCTGGTCCCTGTAAGATAGGTTTTAAATTAAACTTTTTGTTTTATATAGAAAACAGGAAATGAATTGGATGAACAAGAGTCGGGGATATTAATAAATTTTCTATTTTTCAGCAATTTTGAAACCAGATTACAAATCAAAATTCTCTGAAGGAGGTATTTTTGATAAGTAGTTTTATTTGGTAATATTGTTCAAGAAAGACTAAAAATCTGCATTTTGAAAATGTTCCCCAGGTGATTCAAATATATATCAAGTGATTAGAACTTGATATGACATTGGAGTACTGTAATGATAGGGTAATTTCAAAGACTTAGTATGTAGAGACACTACAATTTAGACATGCTGTATGGGAAAGTAATGACAATTAAATAAAAAGGGGTATCTGGGTGAGTGGTGGGTTGCTCATCCAGATTTGAGATTGAGGTTGGCCTGATAGTGTAGTGATTAAGGGAACTAGATCCCACATGGGTGACCACATTTCGAGTCCCAGACCAGTGTCTTTACAAACTTGATGGCATGTGTGCATTCATGCCAAAATCCCAACAGGATGGTTAAGTGAGGAGAAATAGTTGTGGCATGACCACAGCTGATGGGTGGTGGGTTCTTTCTCTCTCTAGCAAGTGTATGCACCAAATGGCAATTTAAAAAAAATGTGAACTAAGAACTCAGATGTGCTGACAAGTTTGTGGAGTGAATATTATATGAACAATCAGGTGAAATGGTCAGCAATAGGCATCTACTAGAGCTTTATAGAAATTATGACTTAGAGTCATTGTGGAAGCTAAAGGTATAGTTAGGAATGATCTACCCACTGGATTGGACACAAAGAAAAGAAAACAAAAGAAACTTGAGGAAATTATGACACAGAAGTGAAAAGAATGCTTACATGTCATTGACAATGTGGTCAAAACCTGAACCTGTTTTTTGTAACTAGATTATTGGTGTGTGACATAATTTACCTTTTCCTTTAAAATCAAAGGAGCTAAAACTCATTCCTCTTCCTTCTTGCATCTTGCCTGAAGTGACATGACCCAAGTTATCCAGTGAAAAATACCACTTTAAATTTGCACATGGAGAGAAGAAGAAACATGTACAGGAATGAAAGTCAATTTGGTCTGAAAAAACAGCCAACACAGCAACACCAGGACTTTACCTAAAGCATCCTACGTCCACCTTGATGGCCTCTACAGTGAGAGCTGTGTCGTCTGAGGTGCCATAGCAGTAAGGGTATCCCTTACTGAGCCAGCCCTGGGGCATGAATGTGGCTGTTCCTTGACAGCCTCACTTCTATCTGTTGATCTATTTACAGCTGAATACTCTAATATTCCTAGTATTTCTATATAGAGTCAATATCTATCCAATGAACTCTTTCTTATGCAACCAAGAGCCTTATTGACACTATCTAGATGGGGGAAGAGCTCAGTAAAAGAATAATGACCAGGTCAGTCAGAGAAAGAGAAAGATAATTGAAAAGTGGAGAATCATGGATGTTAAGAGGAGAAAGTTAATGAAGAAAGACAAAGTGAAATTCAACACAAAATGCAAAAATAAATAAAGAGCAAGGAGTGAAAAAGATTTTTGTGTCTAGAAATTACTAAAATTTTAATGGTTCAATAGAGACAAAGAAGTCTTCATTTTGTGAGTGATGAGGCCAGATAATTTAAGTGAGTGGGAAACACATGGCAAAGCAATGAAGTGCTCGAAATGAAAAAAAAAAAAAAAAAATCCAAGAAATGTGGAGTACAGTTAGCGTTTGTCTACCACTATTGCAAACACACTTATTTGTATGTGTTTAGAATATTTTAATAAGTTTTCAAAATAGGAGAGGAGTTAAAGACAGTGAAGGAGAGGAGAGAATAAAAGAGGAAAGGGAAATTTAGGAGTATAGAAATAAAAGACTGAAAGAGAAATAGAGAATAAAAAAAGATATAAATGATTAAGTATGGGGAAGATAAGTCAATGAGGAGGGAGCAGGAAGTACCTGAGAAAGATGAAGATGAAATTAAGGGAAAAGCTCATTGTTCATGTGGTAAATATTTGTTGCAAACCTTGTGCTCATTAAATGTTGTCAACCTTGGAATTATTTCCTTTTTTATTCAATATTAAAATATTTTTGGACCGTGGTTCTAATCCAGGACCTGGAGGCTTAAAAATCACACCCAGCTTGTGTATGTGCATGTCTAAAATCCTGGGATGAGAATGGAGGAGCAGGGATTTTGGCATGGTCATCCCCAGCCAGGGGGTGACTTCTCACTTTCCCTCTCACTGTCTCTCTGTTTCTCTCTGGCAAGCAAACATACCCTATGACAAAAGCCTTAATTTTTTTTTCTTTTGGTATGGGATTTATGTATAAGTGTATATTTGATTACAAATTTTGCTTTACAAATACTATATTGTTATATACATATTAGTAACGTTGAAGTCTTTTCATAATTTTAAGTTGTTTTACCTTTGTTCTGACCTTGAGTGGAATTCTCTTTTATTAGGAATTTGGTGGTTTTACTTGAGAGTACTTTCTTATATGCCCAATTTCTTAGCACTGTAGAATTTAGCCCATGCCTGGAATCTGATAGAAGCAATATATATAACCAATACCAATAATTCCAACTATCAAATGTACATTTATTAGAAATGGACTTCTTCCATGAAATTCTAAATAATAAAGACAGAAATTTTAAAATTTGATTTTTTTGTAGGCAAGTTTTAGCTTCTAAATACTGGAAAGAGCAGTGGAGAGATACTTTCTTTACATCTTTCAAACTCACAAACATATGCATGTCAATAAAATTGTTGGAGTGGGTAATTAATATTAATATTTAAGTGACTGACCCAGCCTCTGTGGTGCAGTAGTACTCAAGTTTCTGAAGGGTGAAAGGCACATGGCTGACTGCAGGTCAAATTCCACGTCAGCCTGAAAACACAATTAGTCTGGGTGTCCAGGATCTGGAGGAGCTAGAGGCTGGAGAAAATGGATTGCAGCATAGTGAAAGAGATTTATCTCTCTCTCATGCACACAGGCACTACCTAAATATAGTTCTATACATCCTATTCATATATCTAGGAGACCAATTAAAAATTGTTTAAATTTTATGTTTACTCACTTATTTCTTCTACGAGTGGGAGTATAAAAAGAGAAGAAACACAGAGGGACAGCATTCCTTTCAAGTCTTGAATTCTGTGATATATTCCTGACCAAAGTCAGCTCAAAATTATGGGCTCACATGCAGCAGGTATTCTCAGGGTCTCCAAATTAACCCAGGAACTTTCTAAGTGGGCCTTATTGAGTATTTCATTTTAACTCTGTGCCATCATTCAAACCCTTAAAGGTATTAATGGAAGAATGTGACTAATTAAAAAAGAGAGGTCTTTATATCTGAATTATTAGAAATGATTATAATTGAAGTTCATGACCTGATTTTTAACTGGCCCTTAATGTTTTAGTGCCCCATAAACTATCTTACAGCATCATTAGATTTAAGCTAACAGAAAAGTAAAATGTCATGAAAGTAACAAATACATCTTACCACCATTTTACATAACCATCTGTACTCACAAAAATGAAATATACAGACAACCAATAACAGGTCTCCAATTTCAACCTATTTTGAGAGTTTGTAAACCCAGTTTAAAATTATATTAAGTTGGGACCAGTAGTTGGCGTAATGGCTATGTCGCTGGACTCCCATGTAGTTGACCGTGTTTCGAGTCCCAGATCTGGTGGCTTAAACTCATGCTGGGCACGTGTGTGTGCTTGCCCAAGATCTTCAGAGGAGAATGGAGGAAAAGGGATTGTGGGGTAGCCATCCCACCTGTGGGGTGATTTCTTGCTTTCTGTCTTTCTGTCTCTGTCTTTTTGGTGAGCACACCACCCTATAGCAAAATCCTTTCAAAAAATTACATTAAGTTAAGCAACATTTTAAGATACTCTGTAAAATATAATGATTATTATACAAATTATTTCCCTCTTACCCATATTTTGATAGAAATTGTGGAGCTCCTTTAAATGCTTTCTAAAGTAGAAAATACAATAGCACAGGAAT